ACTTAAGTAAGGTGCATACCGTATTGAAGTATAATGCATAAATAATACGGTCATAAATATTGTAGAGATTTATTTGTAAAAAAAAAACCTTTCGATTTTTGTTCTGCAATAAGATTATTTTAATTGTTAACTAATGTTCTAAACTAGATATTTTTTTTCTATATCGTCATGGTGGGTGGATAGAAAGGACAAGTCCTTGGTGGGCGGTATGTTGCAACTTATATTAATTTTGACGTCTAGATGGCGTTATGGCGAATTAAATCGCGATAATAAAATATTTCTGTCATTTTATATATTTAAAATTGGTAAGAAATAAATGTCTCCGTTCTGCGAGTGGGAATTTTATTCATCTCCCCACGATTCCTGGGATTTTGTACCGAAATTGTACAACCACTATCAATAAAAAAACAATATCTTATTAACGTGGTTTTTGAGATACAGCCTGGTGATATAGAGACGGACAGACAGACGGATGGACAAAGGAATCTTAGTAATATGGTCCCGCGTTGTATCCTTCGGGTTCGGAATACTAAAAAATGTAGTTTTCCGCAGGTTAGTTCGTCCGTGTTGCTTGATAGGTAATAATTATGTTTTTGCTTACCTATTCAAGATCTAAACGTAATGCCAGCGGGCTTAACTGTCGCTTAACATTTAATTTAATGTTATTACTCAGCAGTATTATATTAGTAGGTACTTATTTATCTAACTAAATGATGGTTTATCTTGTTTATAAAGTAAATACCTATGTTCCATAGGTACATAATATAAAATCTTATATGATAAATAATACACTTGTTGGAATCAATGAGGGAAACATTATGGGTCAAAGAAATTTTATTAATAAAAGATAACAGCTTTATCACGTGTAAACCTACGTTATTTTTAAAATGAAAAGCGATTTTTTTAACCGACTTCAAAATTCATAAGGCGGAGGTTATAATTATGTTCGATGGCGATGTATTTTATGTATGTTCACCTATTTTACCTATTTTCAAAATTATTTTTATATTTGACACCTTAATGGACCGAGGTGGTCCCGTTTAAATTTTATTGAAATCGAGTCAGAAGTTTTCCTTTTATAACAAAACAAAAAAAGCTTTTCACCACATATCACCCAAATATTTAGTTGACACAGTAAGACATGGGCCCTTTCCAGCTAAAAAACAAAAGATTATTTGAATTCATAAAATATCCGAATGGTGAATTTTCTATGTTCAAGGAGTATGTATATTTTTTTATGAAAGTAGCAATGTTATTTATTAGTTTTTTTTTTCTTAAATTGTGAACTAATTTCTATCAAAGTAGTTGTTTCACTGGGACTTCGCTGCGTAAATTATAGCCTATGTCCAAAGCGTATTAAGCAACTTCCCATAGATGAAATACTTACATTAATTAATCCAATAGTTTCGGAACTTATCCAATGTAAACAAACAAGCTGTGGCGACTGATACATAGCGACATCTAATTCATCGCAGTAACATCGCCACAACAATCGATAGCGAGAAGACAAGCATCGTCACAGCCATCGATAGCAAGACGAACTGCAATAAGTTTCAACAGCAAGTAACGAGATGGCGCTGTACCAATACAAGCAACATAAATTAATAACTACAAGACATTTAGAACAAAGAAACCTACATCGCACAGAATAAGTTTCATTACCAATTAACATAAATAGAACGTCCAACCTACTTCGGTCGGACCGCGGTCCCCGGGCTAACAACACCTAGCTCGGAGGGAGACAATTATCCTTTAGTCTCCCTGGCCAGTTGTCTCCATCACCACTTTACCAATACAAGCAGCATAAATTAATAACTACAAGGCATTTAGAACAAAGAAACCTACATTGCACAGAATAAGTTTAATTACTAATTAGCATAAATAGAACGTCCAACCTACATCGGTTGGACCGCGGTCCCCGGGCTAACAACACCTAGCTCGGAGGAAGACAATTATCCTTTAGTCTCCCTGGCCAGTTGTCTCCATCACCACAGTAGGGACCCAACCTTCAATCTTATGGTTCCTAAAAAGCAAACAAATCTTTCTTCTGTATAATATGAGTATAAAATTATTGAAAAAAATTTATGCCGAGCAAATAAATAAAATCTTCTTTATTAGGGCTTTCACTATGTTGAATGTTTTATTTATATTGATTTTTTTTTAGTGTTACCATTTTTTTACCATAACAGCACTAAAAAGCATGAAATAAAAACTATTGAAGTCAGACTTCAACTGCATTTTCTTGAATAATTAGCTTTTGAGATAAGTAGGTATTATGTACTTATTTATATTTTTTTTAAGTTTTGAAGTCGGTTATATATTTTAGTTTTTATTGGATACCATTGTTTCCATAGTTTTTTTTTATTATTATTTTCGAGCATGAGACGTTTCCTTTTTGTGAAAACGAAAAAACTATGTTCGTCAGTTTTGCTTAAACGGAATCCATCTTATAGATATTTCATCTAAGCCGAGATTGTTTCATACTAATATTTATTTATTTATTATTACAAGCATATCACTATTATTAATATAATTTATTTGTGTAGTGATATTGACATCTAGTGGCATATAATGTACTTGTCATAATAAAATATTATATAATCGATTAAGCGCTCTGTATAAGTATTGCTGCGTGTAACTAGATGGCATTTACACTTTTTACCACAGTGGTATAAGCAACATTTTCATATTTTCATACAAAGAAAAATAATACCTGGCGAGTGATGTACAAAATACCCTGTACAAAGTATCTGAAATACAAAATACAAGATACCTATACTTTTAGCTGCTTATAACTATAGGTATACTCTATATTAACTACATACTTTAACTAAGTATTTCTGATACCGGATACAAAATACATTTTAGATTGGTATCCGAAATAATACTAAGATTCAAAATCTGCATTGTCAAAATACTTTTTATAGATAAAATACGATTTTGACAATATATATTTATGTTGAAAAACTTGAACATTTACCTCTATATACTTATGAATTATATAATTATATTATCCTGTTGGAATCAGCCATTATCGAGTCCATGGCTATATAAATGGGCGCATGGTTTGCTATGATGATAATATGCTAAAAACTTATAACAGTAAAAAAGAATAACTTATATGAGATTTGGAGTTTCAATAAAAAGTAAATTTTTATGTATGTACTTATATAGCTTTTAAGTTCCCAATAAAATTGCATTATCGTCACCCTACTGTATACTTCTTTGACAAAAAATTTAAAAACGAATATCTTGTGAATAAAATGACGTTAACAAATAAATTATATGCCAAATTTTAGTCACAATGTTGTACAAATTTTCAACGTATTTTGTATATAACATTATAACAAGGGGTTGTTATCTACATGCGTTTATAAGGATCACTCAATTCAGAAAATATAAAAAGCTTTGATTGGACATAACTTTTTAACTATAAACATTTATGGTGTGAAATTAATTTGTACAAATATATTTAAGTGTATGTATATAAGTGTTTCTTTAAAGTAAAAAAAAAAGTTATCATGTATATTATAAGCATATTACCGTATTTCTAGAACCACTCAATCTTAATGTATCAGGATTGACTGATCCATTGAAACTATCGTAAAATCCTGGATTTACGTTGAAGTATCTTGATTTTTTGCAAAATAATGTGACAATTTCTGTACAATTTTTTGATATAAAAATTTTATTCACAGTGTTAATATTTCCTGAGATTCGGCTTGTAGCCATTTTCTCTAATGTCTGGATTGAGTGATCCACATATTGGGCAATATCTTCGATCGCTTAAGAGTGACAAATTTTTTGATTTCGATTATGAGTTTTGACAAATTTTGACTAAATGTACGTTTTGGTTTTGTTGAAAACTGCATCCTTTTGCACTCAGTCCAGATGCACATCATCAAATATATATTATACGTATTAAGCCAGTAGAGTTGGTAACACTGTGCTATTTTATCCCACTAAGCAGCTCTCTAGGGACCACACGGGAGAAGTCGCTGGCAGAGAATAGGCTTGTTGCAACTTTTTTTTTATTTCATAAATAAATAGTCCATTAACATCTGAGAAATTTCTGCGTTTATGTTTATAGCTGTTATAATGCAAGTTGTAACATTTTTTATATCTAATTTAATGCCTCATGTATTTTAGCAAATTTTTGTAATAGATTTTCTCTACTATTTTCAAGTTTTAAAGCTTAATATTTTCCAAATCAGTGACTTAAATTTGTTTCGTTTAACATTTATAGCTTAAAATGGTTCATATTTTTCGAAGATATACCAAAAACCTGTATTTTCACTTGTAGGATACGAGCCTATTAGTAGGAAGGTATATAGTTTGAATCGTAGAAACGGCTACAACGATTTTTATTGAATTTAGTACGCATGGGTTTCTGAGTCGATAAAACGATTTAGCTAGTTTTCGTTTTCATAAAAAATATAATATCATCATCCAGGTAGTTGAAAGTATACCTACTTTATAAATAAATCAACAGTCGTATCTATAGTCGAGAGAAGCAATGATTTGATAAAATGGCATAAAATAAGCAGATATTTTTAAACCAATAGACGAGAATTTGAATGAAATAAGAACTGTAAATGAATAATCATAGTAGTGAGTATTTTTACTTTTAACAATTCTTATTTAATTATAATTCTTGTTTATTTGTTAAAATTTTTTGATGAATTACCTTTATCCGACTATACCTAGATACGTGTTTTTAAACCCGGAGTGGCTTGCACGCCGGTTTCAAGGTGACATCATACTGTCACGGGTTCAACTCTCAGCTGAATCAATTTAGATAAAATAAATTTTCTGTGTATTGTGGTACCTTTTTTGTTAAATAAATTAATAATGTGTGTGGGTTATTATCATTATAAGCCCTTTTTACGTCCCCACTGCAGGGGCTTAGACCTTCTTTATAATGGTTACGGAGTGTATGGGTGTTGCCTCACAGGCACCAGGAAATAGTAGAGATATATATAAAAAAAACTTGTTATTTTATCACTTATTTATTCTACGTACTTCCATAAAGTGAAAAGTACTTCATGAAACTTACTTATTTAAATAACGCGTCGAGTACGTCCGTACATAATTAATTATACATACGAAAATATAGTTATTATAAAGTATATAGTAAAATCATTAATCACAGTGTGTACTAAAATACTACAAACTCTGGAATGATTAATTTCAATATTATAAAAATACAATAATAAATAGCTAAGTGAAGGAAGCCAATTTTTTCTTTTGTTTAAAATAAGTTTCAAAGCCCCTCTGAAGTTCAAGGCACTAGTGTATCATATTTAATATATTTATACTTTATTTATACACAAAATAACTTATAAAAATAATGATAAGGGAAATTGTACTGTTTAGTAAAAAATTGAAATGTTGGTTTTAGATATTGGCACATAACAAGAATAAATATATTTTAAAATTTTAAAAGTCATGTCTTTTACGTAGTGCTGTAATACTCACTTATTAACTATAAATAAAGCATACATTAAGACAGCACAAATATATATATTCTAAATGCGGAATAAATCCGGAATGCTCATCGTTTAAAAAACAAAATTGTCAAAAAAAAAAAAACTAAATGCTAAATTATTACGAAATAATGACTGAAAAGATATATTTTTGTTTTTATATAAAAAGAAACAATTTGACACTCGAGAGATTCGCAGTCCACATTTATCAGAATGGTCCAGAACAATTAACTCTTCTAATTTATCTAATTAAGTGGAATTCTAAGTACATACTGAATCTATTAAACATTTAAGAGATTAATCATTAATATGAGAATATCGAATTGTAACGATCTTATATTTTAAAATATTAAATTTTAAGCAAATCTATAATTTTAGTTTAATGGAAATGACATTTTATATAACTGAAATTACTTATAAAGGATAATAACGTCACTGAAAAGTTACTTAAAACTACTTCGAAAAGAATAGAAGTTTATCGATGACACCAATTTAAGGAAAATAAAATATAACCATAGTTTTGCTCAAAATTGATTTGAAAACGACTTTGTTATAACACTGTTAGAGTACAATTTACATGTGTCGCGTATTCCCGAAATTGATGCCGCTCTGATTGGCTCCCTTGTTTGATCCATATTGGAGTGAGATGACGCCTTGGCCTGCACGAAGCTGTTCCTCAGTGAAGTTCCTCACGTTTTTCTCTGCTTCTTTGGGTCCTATTGACGGCTTACCGTAGTTGCCGGCCTGGAATAAGTATTCAAGAGATTCCATGAATTTATTGCCGTTATTCTCATACAGCGCTAAACAAGGTTTAGCGTCAGAGTAAATTTACGCCAAAATTGCCATTTTAGTATTACTCCAAATTCATATTATACAGACAATAAATATTACTTCCGTAGAACCTCGTACTAGATTAACCTTTGCTAAGTCTGTTTAATAATATGGATTTTGACTAATACTAAGTGCAGTCTCAGCGTAAATTTTCTCCAACGCTAAACCTTTTTTATTAATAACACTGATAGTATATTTTATCTAATCCTCTCTGGATTATACTACACAATATTAGTGTTTCTATATTGTGTAGTAGCTCGATGGCATAATGGATAAGCGCCGCGGCACGCTATTGTTGTTATTAAGCAACTTTCGCAAGGGTTCGAAACTCCGTGCTTTGGAAGGCACGTTGAGCCGTTGGACCCGGCTGCATTTGCTATCCTAAATACCATCCAATTCGCCTCCTTAATCATCCAGAAGGAAAACTGGACGTAACAGGGCTGATGATGACGATGTAGTCTCTTAGGACTGCATTTTGAAGTCATCAAGAAAAACACTCAAAAAATCTACTATTTCAGTGCGTATGTTGGGAACGTTCGCAAGCAACACAGTATCGGACAGTTGCATAATCGACCAGTAAGGTTGAATAACGCTTTTAAGCTCTAATGAATGTTAAAACTGTAACGGTAGACGGTAAGTTGCACAAACATCCATTAAATTTTAATGTCGCCTGTAAGCTCTAATGAATATCGAATTTGTATGGGTAATGTCGCTTTAAACTATTGCAAAGTTTAATGGATGTTTGTGCAAATGGCTGAATGTCGCGTTAAATTAATAAAAATTTCAATGGAGGTTTGTGCAACTGGCAATAGCGACTTCATTGTTCACTGTTGGCTTTGGTCATTGTCTTTTATACCATTCTCTATATTAAACTAAATTTGACTTAGTTTTATTTTAACATTATTCGATAGTTATACGTAATTAAAGAAGTAAAATTAAACTCCTATCTAGGTGCACTAAAATATAATGCGACTACTTTTCATAATCTTGACTAGGTATATATATAAAAATATGTTTTGTTATTTTTGAATTACCCACCTTCCTGCCAAGTGACTGTAGGCAGATGACGACAGAGTTGAGGTTCTGTCTTTCCCATAAGTCGACAGTTTGGAAGGTCTCCTGCGCTGGCACACCCAGATTTTTGGCTGCTTCGAGGAACGCGTTTATATTCTCCATGCATTTGAACGCCATCTTTGATTCATTTACTTTCTTTACCATAGCTGGCTGAATATTGTTTACCAACCTTTGAAAATAGAAAAAAATAACAATGTATGTTGAGAATTATCTATTTATCTATGTCTATAAAGAGAAAAGATTTAATTGATTGTTTGTTTGTTTGTCTACATCGATTATGCGCCGAAACTACTGAACCATTATTAAAAATTATTTCATCTACAGGTAGCTACATCATACGCGGTCGAAATAGGCTATAATTTACGCGGGCGAAGTTGCGAGAAAACTACTAGTGTGTTATAAAGAGAAATGATTTCATTGTTTGTTTGCAATGAATTGGCTCCGAAATTATTGGACCAATTTAAAAAAAAATATTTCATGCACGAGAAGCTACATCATACAGTCCATAATCTTCGCGCAAACTTGCGGTAAAACAAGCTACCATAATATAAGCTTTTTAAGATTTGTAAGGCCTGTCTCGTATTATGAAAAACTAGATCTAAGTTGGTCCTAGCATTCTTTCTTATTTTATTTAGGTACTTCTTTTTATTCTTTACTTCAACATTTGATGAATCGTGTAAATAGTTTCATGGTTATTATTATAAATTATTCTTCAAACCACTTGTAAGAACTAGCAATCCTTTTCAAAGTTTTTAATAAGATGAATCATTTTGGCTACGAAATTTATTCCTCATTTTCTGCCTACGCTATTTGATATTTGATATATCGTTTAGTGCACTTGACAAATAAAGGACATGGTTTGTGTTCATTCTGATACATGACATCATTTAGATGGGTAATGTACTGAAATAGACACAATTATCAATCTGCAAGACTGTTGAAAATATATGGGTCTATGGGATGGATATCCAATCAATATGGAATGATGGTTGAAGAAATTTTATTTGGTCCACCAGTTAGATAATAGAAAATATTAGATACTTTTTTTTACTACAATTTAACAAGAACTAGCTTAGATAACAGGCATTAAAGTTGAGGAGTGGGGTAGCGAGTCACAGTTTTGTAGAAAATGTACAAAAGCGTGACGTCATTTGACATTTTAAATCAATGTATTTCCGTAATTTAATGATTACGAAAAAAAACGTGTTTAATAGTTTTCAACAATCTACCTGATGGATAAACACACAAAAATTAGTTGTCGTCCCTATTTTAAACAGTCACTTATTTATTTGCAATAATTTTTTTAACAAATAAATACTATTTTGGAACTTTAGGATAAGGTATCATTATCAAATAAAACTGGACATTATGAATTCAATACTGGATATTTTATTAAAACATAAGGATATAAGATAAATTACTCGCTTGTCTCTCTGTAGTGATTTTCCATAAAACGAACAAAGAAAACTTACTTGCAAAGAAGTGTGCCGTCTTTCAACACCTCATAGAAGTTATCCATATCACCAGACACGTTCTGTGGCTCGCCGGTGATCTGCCGTACCCATTCTAAGCATTCTTGAGCCAATTCCTCGCTGTATTTACTGTTGATCTGAAACGTAATATGATTTTTTTCAATTAGTACAAAATCATCATGCTCATCAGCCTTTTAATGCTCTCTATACAATGTCTGGTCAGAAAATTTAAAAAAGTCCGGATTTTGGGAGATAATCTATGAAAGCTTAGTCGATGCCAACCGATTGATTAATTTAATTATTTTATTCGTTATTATCTAATAAAACTTCTCCTTTGTAGGGACATTTCCTTTTTTTCTATCCGCTCTGGGGTGCGACTACCTAACCCTCTAGCCACGATTCTATCCATAGGACTTTGACGGGTGTTTTGATTGATAAATTGAGGATAAATGATTGAGTTGGTGCTGCCATATGTATAATCATAATTTTTATAATTTGATCGTCGTTATTAAAGTACATGTGAAAATTATAAAATAAAACGAATTATTGCCATAACATCGCTAATATGGCGTATACTATGGCTAGAGAGTTAGGAGTTCGCACTTCTAAACATTAAGTACTGGAAATATTGGGGGATTATTCTCATATAATGTTAACATCAAACTCATAACAAACATATGAATTTAGCCGCCGCTTTTCTACGAGTATAGTCCGCTTATGTTGGTTACAAAGTTACGTTATTGGGTTGAAGTATTGTAACCAAAATAACTGATGTATGACCTCGTACTATTACCTTGTAGCAAGTATCTTCGTGATTACTTAGTTCATCGACTGGTAATCATTCTTTACGCGTACAACTATATTCGTCACACATTCCTTTGAATTCAACTCATGTTTTACCCCTATTGTTTGAATCATTACATACTTCGATTAAATTGCGTCATTAAAGAATGTGTTATAATCAAATAGGTCAGTTCTAAAAATAGCAATTATGTTTGTTAGTAATTTGGATACAATTTGTCATATTTATATTAGGTATGAACCTACTTTAACAAATTTTCACGGACTCGGTTAATGATGATAAGAATATTGTTTTAAAAAACAAAAACATATCACGCGTAAAAAAATACATAGTCGTTTTTAGAAGATTTCGGATGACGTAATAAGTCAGGGATGCCAGCATGACTCAAATCTCAGACGTTACCCAACAAAAAATTTAACTTTTTTGATGACGAAGTTCCTAATAACAAATTCATTAGTGTAGAATATGAATCAGAGTTTTAGAATATCGCACAGGACTTTATAAAATGAATTTTGATGTAACTTATTTTATGATCACATATTTTTAATTGAAATGCGTTCATTTTGATAATCACAAACAGAATTTATTTAATTGTAATGTTTTAAATTCATTTTTTTTATTCTACTACGTTATTGTTTAAACTGAATAGATTTGATATCTTAACAAAAAACCAATACAGCACGAACACAGAGTTGACGCAGCATCTATATATTTAATCAAATAAAACCTACTTCAGAATAAGTAATAAATAATAACGCTGTATTATTAAAGCATATCAAAATTGATGTGATATGTTTAAAAAAAAACATGCGTAGCCTTCGTCTAATCGTTACAACAGTTTTTTTTTCTTTTTTAACTTTATATAAAGTAGTATATTCGCTTATTATAAATACAAAATAGCGAGAAGGTTCAATAGATACCACATCTTGAAGATTGACCGCCAAGATAAGAGGGACCTCTGCGCTCTTTCATTGTTATTCAAAAGCGCTATCTAATTTGTGTTCGAAGTCAAAGGAAGTGGACTCTGTAAGCCGTGTCCTGTTCGTACCTGTTTTAGGCACCTGCCATATTGTTTTAATTGAATGTGGGACTAATAGTGCAACGGAATTTTTAAATACGGCACAGATATTCCTTTTAATTTCTCTTATCGACAAAACTTTCCAATATATATATAAAGTGATGCAATCGTCCTAAATATAAGTATATTGTCAAAACATTTGTTGAATTCATATCAAAAGCAGTGGTTGCCATACTAACAGAGTAATATTAAATAACACCGTTATCTTCAAACATTTATTATGTTTCTATCGCATATACTAACGGAAGGTCATTGGGTGAATTACTAATCTAGTTAGCAGCTGCACATATAACTACTTCATTAAATTTTAACTAACAATTAATATATATTTTTTTTTCATTTAATTTAAGTGTTTGATGATAAATGTGCTAGAAATTAATTAACTGTACTAAGACCTTTCGTTGATAATGAATCGCCATATGTTCAAATAGGTCAAGATGGATATTCCACGGATATTAATCCGGTAATGACATTAAAGCATACGTTCATTGCTAATCTTTTCATTACTTACCATACACGGCCCGACAACAAAAACGTTTGTACGTCCATAAATAACTATGATTCAACATCAACGGATTCAGAGGCAAAGTTGCGTCAGACTTCAGAGCCAGTTAATGTGTAGTACAACACGTCCGTTTTTGGACAATAATCTAGGAATGAAGCTGATCTTAAAGAGAAGTTTTAATTCTATAAAAAGTGGATAGCCTTGCATGGTATCGTTGACAATGTTCCGTTGACTTGTAAGGAGTTTGGAATGGGGTCATCGAGCGAGGCTGTCTCGTTGGTCAAGATGCAGCATGCAGTATTGCAACAGTGCTTTTGATATTCGAGTTGTTATATTACGTAAAATCATTAATTCATAAGATAATATGCAAATAATATAAATTTATCCAATGGTATCTACAAAAGTTAATTTCAAAGAAAAGATTCTACCCATTCAAATTCCAAAATACTTTTTTAATGTTACAAACTGTGTTGTAATTACAGTAATCTTCTTTTTGAAACAAACAGAAACGGGATATTTTTCTTATCCAACAAATGACATGATGTTATTTATATAATGTTTTTTAATTTGTGAATATTTCAATATCTATGGTTTTTACACATAATAAATAGATAAATGTATAACATCAGATACGTCTTTGAATATCTCACTTCATGCAAGATCTTAATTGATTTCTCCAACAATTACAAGTCTTATACATACAATTGATGGTAAATTATGCGAAAAGTTTGCAGAAGAACTTTCGCTGACGTGATAGGTATTTTTTATACTCATTGCCTCATCAAATGCATTTAAAAATATTCTCATTGGTATTATTATCACCCAATAGGTTGAATCCATACAAATAAGGATTTTAAGTACACCGCTAATAAGTTGTGTTTTAAAAGGACACTTGAAGCAAATACTTTTGCAGAATTGATTTTGATTGAAACAAATGAAATCCACAGAGACCTTAATTTAAAATTACATAGGTTTATCATCTTCATAAATGAAGACACTGGAATAAAATATCAATCTAACAGTTTTGCCGATAAAAAAGGTAAAATTACCTACAAAATTCAATTTGATTCAAAAGCATATAGTCTTTATACCTATAGTTCAATATTTTGAGTTTCTTTGTAGCCGAAACCTAACAAGAATTATTAAGATTGTAACAGTAATCGTAAGTGTTTAAGTAATTTATTATGATTAATATTATAAAGGCGAAAGTTTGTAAGTATGGATGTATGGATGTTTGTTACTCTTTCACGAAAAAACTACTGGACGGATTTGGATAAAACTTTACAGCAATATAGGTTATACATCAGAATAACACATAGGGTACTTTTTACTGGGAAAACTTCTCACTCCCACGGGATACCGACTTCCACGCGGACGAAGTCGCGGGCGTCCACTAGTTTATTATGAATATTGAAAGTAATACACCACTGATCCACAAACTAAGCATACATCTGGGACGACATATAATCACTCCAGAAGATATAAAATCTCTAAGGGCCAGGAACATTATAGACTTTTTGAAGTCTACCGGGCTAAAGGAGTTACTGTAGCTCTGGCGGCGAGTCACAATAGATCTTCAAGGTCGCAGTGACTACATTTCCCCAGGGAACTGCATAGCCCCTTACAGCAATAAATAACAATAATACATTATCCACAGTTCATATATTTTATATTGATAACTCAAGTTTTCTCTCTGTTCGTTTCATGTACATGTTCTAAACAAATAACTGTAATGAAAACCTTTTTCAAGCCTGGAGGTAGACAATTACCTTATGGTCTCTCTTACCGGTTGTGTCCATCGTCCAGTAAGGACCACACCTTCACCTCAAGATTCCTATAGTTCTAATTTCCTCCTTGTTTACTGCCTTAAGTAATTATTGTTTACATATTTCGAAATGGAAATAATTAAAACGGTTATTATATTAGGTTATTATATCATTGCATGTTTAATGAACATATTAATTACATTATATAAATTGCATATGTTGCCCCAACTGATTGATAAATGGTCAATAAACTAGTTGACTTATTGATATACATTTGGGATGGTGACAATGATTATTATGATCTCATGTTATTTTTTTAAAACTGTTATTCATATGAATCTATTCGTGTTAATTACAATTTGATATATTTTTTAATCAATCTAATGTTGACGGATACTGACGTATGAAATGGACAAAATCATTGTTATGCAAAGCACAAATAATTACCGAGGTAAAATTATTTCTGAGCTTTTACATATTCGCGTCGCACACAATAGATCCTTTTCACGAACAAACAGACATACGAATGATACTATTAGGATTTTATTTTTGATCAAGAAATTTGAATTTTATTTATAAACTTCTTTGGTTTTACGAACCTCTTAAAAGAATATATAATATGAAATAAGAAAGTTTTTCTATCTGCTAAAAAGAGGCCCTGTAAAGTATCGATTGCGAAGTTTGAAAATTCAAAGAGAAATTTCGGACAAGAGCTTCAATTAACGGCATATGGCTTTTGAAAGTGACCCGTTTATCGGAGTCCTGCGTTAAGGCTGGGCCTTATAAGGTAAAGTTTGTGTTGTAACTGAACAGAGTCGCGCCATGACTCAACATCTCGAGGAATTAGTTGAGTAAACTTTTTAACGGTCATCGAACATATGTTCTTTTACCTGTTTGTGACAAAGATTATGTCGAAAATAAGCGCACAATTACATATATTGTACTAGCTGTCAAGGCAAACTTATTGCCCGCTAATATAACCAACT